CTGTGATTCACTGAACGGCAGTCAGATGCAGGTTGAGCGTGAGGCGCAAGCGTGCCAACATCTGAACCATCAGAGTGGCAGTATATAGATAATGACAGCTTGTGTGTATGCATTTACTCACATGCGTATATGCAAAAAAGCGAGTTGTACAATCAGTCACGGGAGGAAATCGAAAATCACTGCTTCCTCGTAATGAAATGGTACAGAAAAATTAAAAAAAATATCCGAAAGTATCTCACTGTGTCCGTTTAGTGGAGAATTTCAATCGATAAACCCCACCAATTTAGAGATCCCGGGCTCACGCACTAATACTATTCATAAAGTAATCCAATGAAAAAATGGGAAACGATAACTGACTAGTCGAAATGGCCGGATTTTGGGAGGCCGTGGTACCAACCAATTTTGCTCTGATCTCCTTGTTACTAATCTTTGTGAGCCTGTTCTGGACAGAGTTCATGAACTGCAAAACAACTTTCACTTCTGTTTTACTGTGACAACATGAATTAACTACACGGAGGTGCTTGTTTATTCGGCCACGACAGTGTGTCGTGAGCATCAATTAACGTCATTTACTGCCGATACATTTAAGGAATTCGCGGTTACCTCACAGTTACTTATGAGTAGTGGCGTGGGACAGTTCGTACTAATTTGGAAAATGCAGTCCTCAGACCTCACCTTCACGCGCAATCCTCAGATCATCCACTCAGCTATGCATTCGCAAAGAACGATGCATATCCATCGCCCCGTCTGGGATTCGAACTCCAAACCCATTGCATGAAGGGTGTGAGTGTTTTCGCTATGCCAAACAACTTGAGGCGGGATCGACAAAATTGCCGATTCATGTTTGTTCAGCTGTCGTCTTCACTGATAGTCAGTCAGTTCAAGTTTACTTTAATATTGAAAAATAACCTGTTACATCTGTCTGATCGCTAACCATTCGGTCACTGGTGTAAGTGATTTAATGCCTGTTCGCTATCATAATGTAATCGATGGAAATTCACCCATACAGTACTACAGCATGTACTGCTACTGCCGCAACTAACCCTATCAGACAGAACTGAGAATCGGGGATCGTTCCCGTTACTGGCTCCTCGAAGACAATCAATACTACAACGTAGACGATTGGACCATCTCACACAGATTGAGTCAGAATGTTTGGAGGACGACAACACACTGTTAGGACACGAAATTCGGGCAAGAGCACATGTCCGGAATAGAGAAACAGAACTATATACTCATTATGTGGGCACGTCATGTCAGGATACCGGATGGTACGACGCTGGTATGGCTAGCATGAAAAAGACCCACAAATTGCATAAAACCTCAATAAACAATGTATCACATACCTAGCCAGTCCAAGCAAGTAAGCACGCATGCTTATACAACTGTATATTTCCCATACCAGTATATTCCATCATGTTTCATTCAAATAGAGATTTGCGTGAAAATATAACCGCGTGCACGCGTCCCCGAACACGCCCACCGATTCACACAAGGAAAAACGGATTTACATTGACCATCCCCACTTATAGCATCAACACTACCACCAGAATAGTGACTGAAAATCTTGATGAGTCTCAAATCGTGTGGGTGGGTGGGTACAAAGACTGAATTCAGCGCTGAAAACCAAGTGTCATTCCCATTCATTGGTAATACAATTGTAACCGGACTGAAAAGTATACAAATACCATCACGATCTGGATGACCGGTAACTGGTACCCAGGAGGTTAGGGTAGAAATCAGTGTGCTCAGGTCTCATACAACACAGGCAACCAAATTCTCTAAAATGGTTCATTCATCAGGACCGGGATGGATCCCGTGTGACTGAGACTGGAGCACATATCGGACAGATAGCATGCCTCAATAATGAGGACAAATACAAGTCGGAACGTGTTCACAAATCCACTTTCTCATGCTCATCCATGTGTTTGCATCCACCCTTCTGTCACCCACCCTACCCCCGGACTGACTTAAGCAAGCAAGTCCAGATCATTACAGATCATACCAAATGGTCTGTGGCGAGGACAGTGAGTAGCGTATATGTTGCATTGCTTGACTTGACCACTCAGTTGGTCGACGACCAGACAATCCTACTTGCCCCGTATGACCAGTGAACGATCGCACACCACTTGGCCTCAGGGCAAGATTTTCCCTGAGCGGCTCTCGGCAAATCAGACGACACTGGTAATGGGTCACGATGAAAGACAAAAAACTCCAAAAGGATAATTGTATAAAATTGGACGTCGATGGGGACGCATGCACCAGTGAAAATTTACTTACTTTCACTTTAAACGGAGTTGGTAAAGTTTGCTTGGCAATTGCTGCCCAATCAAAGCCCTGAAAGTATCTGGAGGGTGAGAATTAAGAAAGGAAGGGGTAGCACAGTCGGAATTAGAAGACGGTGAGTTTACGCAAAATAAACCACACCAGTTGCTGTTACTACTCGCTCCTTCATTCCGCCAAGACCATACTGCACAACAACTAATTATAATAATAATAATACACAAAAAGCAATACAACTGATCGTGTCAACATTAATCCTATAAAAAACCTTGAAAAATGAGAGAAACAAATCACTAATGAATTGCGAATCTGTACATATAATTTTTCACAAAATCCCATTTGTTTGCGTGAAGATAAAAGGAAGCAGTTTACAGGCAAGATGGTAATAACCCCGTCGAGGAGTTTCCGTTTAGTTCAGCTTCGTTTGCACAACGATCAACTGCCAAGTGAAATGGAGGGAATCGCCTTGGGCGCTTCCATGGACGAATATTCAGGAGCCATGTAACCACTGTGTATCTGACAAAAAAGATCAAAGTAGATAAACACAAAAAAGAGAGCAAAAAGCTTACCATAAGACTGAAACACTGTACACTGTTTGAACGCTGTTACTCTCATATTATCTACAAATGTACAAAAGTGCACAACTCCACCAAATAGCTCCCGTTTGTTTTTAGCACCCGGACTATATTTTTCAGGATTTATCCACAGTACGGACAGTTAAGTCCCCACTCGTGTAATATCCTTAATTGCCCCTCCATTTTCTACTCACCGGGAGGGGGGCATTCGATGGTTGTACATGTTCGGGTATAAGTGATAAAGAAATTTCTGGACTTGGTCCGACCTCTAGGACGATGCAACAAAAAACTAGCTGCACACCGGAGACGTAAACGCGAAAAATAGTCAACCACGGATTTCTTTCGTTATTCCGTTCCCGATTGCAAACGCGATCTCATAGGAACCATTCGAGAAGTAGGCGTGTGTCGACAAGTTCCAAGCTATTTTTTTTGAACGCTCCGAGAGCGAACTCCCCCCACCCCCGTGGAAGAGGAAACAAACCCAATTAGTACCCATGATATTTGCTCTACTAGGATGGCGAGGGAGAGCGGGGGGGGGGAGGGGTGACTGCCGACATACACTGTTGGTATCGTACTTTATTTCAGTCCCCTTCTCTCTCCGTTTGTGTGTGTATGAAAAGTGTATAATTCAAATACTGCCCAACGAGGTTTGAACGGCTGTACAAGATATATTCGAATATACTAGGATAGAAAATGGGGCTCATTTATCCACCGATTGGTTGTGATTATCGATCTGTCTAGAAAGCGAACGTTCACACTTGTAGAGTGGATAAGAGATACGAGTCGTTTTTAATTTCACACCAATTAGATAATTAGTTATCGGGAAAAAGTTGTAGGGAAGGGTGAATTGAACGGAGAAGTAAATCTGGACGAATACAGAAGAGACTGTATCATATCGTGCATACGTGCACGACTACCCGTAGTGCTTAACTGGCACATACAATACAACGCGTGGTATCCCATTGGCTCGCACTCTGAACGATATTGTCGGAATGGGGTATCGATTTTACTTCACACATCCGGTGCCCAGATGAGAGATAAACTATCGGGGCCGAGTAACTTTAGAACAAACAAACCCGGATGAATTACTTCGTTCAAGAGGAACAAAGAGAGGAACTACGGTTTTTCTGTTGTTCCCATTCCATGATCTGATATGGTTTCATTTGAGAAATGTGTAGAAAAATGATTTGGCCGAAAAATAATTGTTCGCTCCCGACAAGTGACGAATTCGGAAGCAACGTTCCCAGTCGTCATAATTTGCGTTTGTATGTGTATGTATATGTGACAGATATGGTATTTGATTCCACGGTTGGGTTAGGTTGCAGTGGGATGGGAGAATTCAACTTCTCAGTGATAGGTCTGATACTTCACTTTTAGGCCTAGACAACTGAAACGACAAAAGCGCAACCATCGGCCACAATTGTAATCAGATCACTGGTCGTTTCTCCCACCTCATATCTTTTCCCCTACAACCCTCATTACAAGCTATCTGTCTAGTTGATCATTGTTGATTCCACACCCAATTTTTTTTAGGTACTTGTGGTTGTCGGTAAGGAGAAAAAACCTTCCTGACAATGGGCCCATTTCTATAGGAAACTCAAGTTCAGAAGACACCGAAGATTCCAGGGAATTCGTGGAATGCGCTAAAATATTACAAGCAGTTGCCTGAGTTCAATATTCTTCATTTCCCGGTTATCCTTGATCTAATGTAATCTTCGTTCACAATCCAGTTCCAACGAGGCCCCTAATATTGCTGTGATCGTTGTCTTTCTCAAATTAGAATAAATAAATAAGATAAATACTGAGTGACTCAATCACGAATACCAACACAACAAAATGCGAACAAAGTGAAGACAATAATGAAACAGCGCACACCTCATAGTAAACCCGAGCGAGATAGGGGAAAACATGCATATGTGGTTGCCACTGAGATCAAGACAATCACAATATCCCCCCTCCACCTGCTCTCCCGTTTGCACAGGTCCGTATTTGCATTCCGGAGAGGAGAAGGTGATGAAGGGCCAGCCTACTCGAATTCGGTCACTCAGACGTGGGGCGGGGCGGGGGGGGGGGNGGAAGATATTCGAACCAAGTCTTGACTAAAAAACTCATACCATATGAAACGACTTACTTGTGGCTGCGTATCTCTTGGATCCCGTGTTTACCCACACCCAAACGTTCGGATGGATTGAAACGACAAAGACGTCGAATGAACTGCAACGCTTTGAGACAGATAAATTTGTTCTGAGCCAAGCCCAGAGCGTCGATCCCCTTCAATGTTTTCATATATATTTTGATCGGTTCGGACGCTTGAAATGGCGGTCTGTAACGGAGTCGGATAGACGTAAGTGCCATACAGAAGGAGACAGAGGTCGAGCATCATCAAAGTTCGATGTAAGTCGACCCGAATTTCCAAACAAGCGCATGTTCGTCGGGTGGATATTGTAGTGAGGGAGCAGGTTGAGCAGAGAGTAGGGAGTAGGGAGAAAGAGAAACATGGTGAGCAGGATAAAAAGACAGATTTAAGATAAAAATGGGCATACATTCGTGAAGGAGTGACAAAGGCAGAACACTATGTGAAACACAAGAAAGTGCATTTGAGTGGTTGAGCACACGAAAATGACAATACGAAGTATGCTGCGGCATCATCTGTTTAATCCATGGATCAATAGCAAATCACCAAACGTTATCCAGGAAATAAATGATGGCGTAAACAAATGATTCGCGAACCGCAGCAAATCGTTTTATCAACTTGTAAAAATCGATAACTCCTCCGGGGTAAGAAGCTGGTAAACCACGGTACGCGGGTCGAAGTTACTGAGATGATCCTAGCCTAAGAGACAACACACACCACGGAGTGATACGATACAGTTTCCGGACAACTGTGATCAATCCAGCTTCCCAAGTGACGTCAGAAAAGCACTTACGTGTCACAGCCTCCAGACTGCAAATTATAGGTCGATGGTACAAACCAATCAGAAACCGTGCGGCCTAAATGGAAGCTGAACAACGCCAGAAATACTGACATGCGATTGGCAGAGGCTTGGATGACCAATGAACTTGTTTTGTACATTTTATATAATCCATCTGATTTCTTTCAATAGACGAACTGCTATTCCAGTGGCCTGTTCCTCGCATCTCGGTTCCGTGGGATACTGCGTGCAAGTACCAGTGATTCAGTGCTAACATTGCGTCCTTAATTTCTACTCCGTGATTCGTATCTCGTGATCAGTGCGTACTACTATCACTACAATTACCACATTAAAATGCAACCCAAAACTTTTCGGATAGGCCGATCAAAACAACAGTGTCTTTCACTGATCATCTTCAATAGTTCACCTTCCACCACAAGTCGTAATTCATCCGGCCAAGTATACACCTCAGAAGTACTCGATTCGAGTTTCCTTTGTGTTAGAGTTTATCGGCAGTGCACACACACGTATTCAGGATTGGAACCCCGCACCGCCTCACGAGGAAAGCGTGTGTGTGTGTCACCATTGTGCCAACCGGCTCATTCGAGGGGGACGATCGGAATAGCGTATTCAGATTTGTCCGTTTGTCGTCTTTAATACCAGTGAATCAGTTGATTTGGCCCGAGCGCAACGACTGGTAGAACTGAGAATTGCACGTGAAACCGAAGCCTGGACAGTAGTCAATCCCAATCCCAGGGTGAACAGGGATCTATTGCGTCTTCGTGTAGCTCAGTAGACGGGCACTTTTTCAGCTGAAACCCGCATACCTAACCAAGAAACAACCTCATCCAAACCACTTCGCCTCACGTTGTACTACACTAAACACGAAACATGTACGCAAGCATTGTTGCCTGACAGGAAAAGGAAAACCGGGCACGGAACGAAAAAAGAACTAAACTTATACCACACTATTCAGTAGTCTGACAAAAATGCGGGGCCTCTAAAATTGTCAACTATGCATCCGGGGTGGAGGGGAGGAAAATTCCATTGATGTGAAACACGCATTTTAAACACGGTGATTTGTACTCAATTGATTTACCAGTGCTTTGTCTAAATGATACACGAATAAATCAATCGGACAACTTCCCCTGTCTGATGGTGACTGGTCAATTGGGATGAAAGACCTGTCAATGTACCTACCAGTCAACTAACTGATCGGTCTATGAAACGATTAATTCCACGAATGACCGACTGCCTGTCCCCGGAAGAAAAGCATAACTCAGACAGAAAGGGTGCGGCAATCATGCGCACCGTGAATTCGATAAACGCAAATACATGAAGCAACACAAGTTGGAAAATAGATTAAAAATCCCATCTTCAGAAGAAAGAAAGCGCAAATACCGGACAACGGCGATCTTGGCGTGGAGCACGAGAAAAATAAACGGGGACAAGAAACACACGGAAGAGGACAAATACATTAGTTACTGTGATGTGTTGGTATGCGATTGGAGGAGGAGAATAAACAGCAGCCGCAATGGATGATCACGGTGGAACGACAGAAATTTTGGCGACCATGATCAGGACCGATGATATTCCGCGCAGAAGTGAACATAGCTCAAAATCTCCTGCCTTTTTTGGGCTGAAGTAAATCTAAGGGTGGGCCAAGGAGAACAGGACCGGGGAGCGCTTGGGTGTCGACACGTTAGAGCATGTGAACACACACACACACACAGACACACAAATGCACAGGTCCATTCTCATTCAGCACCTGTCTCTGTCTCACTCACTCTCTCAGACAGTGGGATCACTACCAGATCGAATAATTGGAGCACAGACGGATGAAAAGTGGAAGTTTTTATTGAAAAAGACAACAAGGCACATGCATGCGTGACAAGAAACAGGATTCTGAGGATTAAACGAGATGAACCACGATAAGATTGGCTCCATGAGGCAATTCGTTAGGCATACATAACGTATAAAACATCTTGAAATTGATTAGAGATAAACAAATGTCTTCATCGCTCTGAGCGATAATGCCAAAATTCGAAAATACATTGAAAAGGTTATTTCCTTCCGCTTCGTGTCTTTTGTATTCGCCTCGACCTCATTTCAGCGTAGAATTTCGCAGCTTTCCGATTCCCGGATCAAAATTGATCAAACCACAAGCAACAAAACAACAGAAAAATAGTAAATCCACAATAATGTGTACACAGTTGTTTTTTTCCTTTCATTCGACTCCGTGTATTCACAATCTTCAGTGCGATAAACAATGGAAGGGAAGTCACGAAGACCTACTGGTCCGTCATAGGACTTGGTGACGGAAGACTCAAAGCAACGAACTGCAGAAGACCCCAATGGGATAGGATGAGAGAGAGGAAGGCAACGAAGGAACTACCAGCACAATCCGCTGAAGGTGACGGCATTTAAATTTAGGATCTTAGAGGCTGATGGATGCCAGTGACAGTGACATAACCGCACCACCTACGGACCGCTACCTCCAATATCCGGTTTTCTTTGCGGTCTCTATGGTGGTTTGCTATTGAACTTGGGACTGCTTGTATTCACCAGTGCGTATTATGACATTCTGGGGATGGCTAGGCCCTCAAAAGTTACTAGTTCCTCCAAGCCTAAAAGAAAAATCCGGATTTCGTTCCAAGAAACGCTCGTATACTGCATTCTAACTCGCGGTTGCTTTCGCATCGACTACGAGTGCATAATTTGATTAGCGGAAAGCGAATAGCAAGCACTAGCCTGCAGTGTATTCTACGACACTGTAAGGCGTTCTAAATCCAAATAAGGGAACCGAAATCATCCACCAACTCGGACTCGGGCCAGCCAGTAACATAACTGATCAAATCACTCGCGACCAAAGGACCAAAGGCCATAGAACGAAACAGAGATGTGAACATGTCTAGGAGAACCAGAAACTGCGTATTTTCCAATCGAAAAATACAAACATGACTTGATAGCAGGGTGGGGCGCCAACACATTCACAGGCACATACGCGCGTCCGAAGACGAGATCTGTCGATCAGGTTTTACTCAATTCCAGAACACAAACCAGACCGTCAGGTCGCCCGTATTATACGCTACACGCCAATAAAGCATTCCTATTATCTAATAAGTTCCGGTATAACTCTCTGAGTCCTCGGTATACACACGCACATACACACGCATACAGACATGCGCACGCATGGACTGATTATGCCGTTCGAATAAACACGCATCTGAATCGCATTTCAATTCAGCCTAATGATTCGTGAACCGAATGATACTAAAGTATAAAGAGGGAGGGGGGAGAATTTTATTTAG